AACATAAAAAAATATGTACATATGAAAACGTAGTTCAATACAACCAAAAGTATTAAAGAAATACGCAACACAACCTATTATGTAACTGTAATCTTAGACAACTGTTTTCTACGAGATCTCATGCTTTGAAAACGTTGTAATATTGCCTTATTTTCAATTTTTCCAAAAATATCTTTCTCTATGTGCACCACCAAATTGTCATTCAACAAGTCGTCTCCCATTCTCAAATCACAATTCACAAATCAAAACTATAATCATAACTCATAGTCACAATAATATAATATAAAATCACATTTCTCATAATTTATAAATCACAAATTCACAAATCAGATTCACAGTCTACATATATTAATTATTCTAAAATTCACAAATTCAACAACAAAATCCACCTTAACATGGCCAGCAAAATCCACCTTAACTTGGCCAGCAACAAATTCACAAATTCAACAACAAAATCTCCAATATTCTTAGATTCTCGAATTCACAAAATCCTCAAGTTTCAAATTCACAAAATTAATCCTCACATCACAGTAAACAACTAAACACTACAGGCTCTGCTTCTGAGGCTCACAATTTAGTCACAATTCACAAACTGACAATGAAGGAACAAAAAAAATATTAATAATAAAAATAAAGCCAGCAGCAAACTCACTCGTGAACGATCGAGACACAAGTCAGTCAATAAGTAGCACCGCAGGAGTGAAGCAAACGCCGGATGCCAGAAAAAAAAAGCAGCCGGATCGGACGCACAACAGCAACTAGCAGGCCGCCCCGATCATCTCCCTCTCTATCGTTTGGTTTTGGCGATTTGGGTGAAATTTGGGATTTGGATTTTATTTTATTTGGTTTAGATTTACAATTTGCAAATTTATTGTTTTTAGAAAGGCCCAAAAACTGGAACAAAAGAAGAAAGGAAAAAAAAAATGTCAAACCCGGCTACCTTCTTCACTTCTTCCCGGCGGACGGCGTCGGTGCAGTGGATTCTTCAAGCTCCCGACAGATCCAGCATGGGCGGCCGCGGGGGCTGGCCAGGTGCTGGGTCCGCCCCTGTGACAATGACATGAATTGTTAATCTCGTTATGACATCTCAGTTGGATTAATCACCAAAACATTAAAATTATTACATGAACTTCAGATTTTGACATCTCAAATATGAGTGACCTATTTGAAATTTTGATAAATATGAAGTAATCTGTGCAGTGTTTTGTTTTTGTTTTTGGGAATGGTAAAGGATCTTATTTCAAGCGTTTGATTTTTTGGGAACCCTGCAGCTTAGAAGAGATGGCGTATTACTTTTACATGGCCTTGATTCAAGGCTTTCCAAG